CTTCGCTTCACACCTCCTGGTCATGGAAAGTCTGTTTCCAGGAATGAGAGCCCATGGGGCCGGCAGCGGGTCCCTGCTTGGTTTTCGGGGGGTGAAGGGACTTGGAGGGACTCGGGCCAACCCGTGGGCCAGGCTGGAGCAAGGGTCTGGGGGTGCACGTGCAGGTAAACAGCAGCTGTGACCCTGCCTGGGCTGCGTGAGAAGGGGCGCCCTGTGTATTGGAGAGCATCAGGGAGGGCTTCCCGGAGGAGGGAGCATTTGAGCTGGCGAGGTGGGAGCACCCAGCAGAAAGCACAGAGGGAGGGAGCTGTGGCCCAAAGGGCAGGGATCCTTCCTGGGCTGCTCACTTGGAAGCCCCTGGGAGGGGGGGAGCTGGGGGCCAAGGACCGTCCTCCCAGCGCTCGGGGCAGCGCCCGGCCTGCATCCTTCCTTCACCCCCTCGCCCGTGGTCACCATTTGGCTTCAGGGAAGCCAGCCTGCAGCCTGGTTTCCAGGCGAGAGACGGGCACGCACCATCCTGGCTTGATGGCCCCTAATTACCCAGTGCAGTGCCCGAGTCCTCGCGGCCAGCCCTCCCCTGGCTCTCATCTCCGGCGCCTCTCCTGCCTGGCATCGCCGCCTGCGAGATGGAACGGCCCCTCTGGAGTCCGTGGCCGTGTCAGCCCCGCCAGCCTGGGATCCAACAGACGCTAATTGCGTCCCCGAGGAGGTCCCCCTGCACTTGGGGTCACCCTGCTGTCTCCTCAGTGATCCGTCCACCATCGACAGTGCCCACGGGAAATGGCAGCAGGGCCTCTGGGAGGCACCACGGGGGAGGGGAGAGGCCGTGGCCACGGGCAAAGGGTGGGCAAGGGCCGGGGGGCCGCCTCAAACCCCCAAACCTCACGGGGCTCATCCTGGTCCTGGTCCCAGCTCTGGAGGCCCAGGTCTGGGTCTGCAGAAGCCTGTGCGCTGCCCCCGCCTCACCCTGTTCGAGGCCCTGAGCGCAGGGCGGGTTCCCAAGGGGGAGAGGTGACCAGCAGGG